TTCCCAGCGTGGGGTGGGTGGGTGGGGGCAGAGCATAGGAAGAGGTGATCACAGATACACAGAAGAGTCTAGGAGCAGGACGGACCTTTCAAAGTGCAGGAGAAATAACCCAGTGCTTGCTCCCCCCAGGGCTGGACCAGGCCCTGCTGGGAGGGAGAGATGCTGGTCGGGGCTTGAGCTGGGACACCTAACACTTGCGGCAGCTGCTGACACAGGAGCCTACGCCGCAGGAACTGATGCCACAGGAGCCCACTCCTCCAGTGCCCAGTCCACAAGATGTGATGGAATTGCAGGGGCCGCAGGGGGCGCACATTCCGGTGCTCACCCCCAGGTTTCCACTGCAGGGGGCGTTGCAGGCGCTGCCTGTCACCGGCCTAGAGCCTGACACACAGAGGTCCCCACAGACGACTCCACCCCGGGAGCTGCTGACACCTGCGAACCCCAAAGCCTGAGTCAAAATTCTGATGGCAAGTTATCCCATCCCAACGAGGCCCCTCCCCAAGTACAGTATCTCTACTTGACAACTCCAGGTCCACCCAGTCCCACAGCTATAGTCTTTCCTGCTGTCAGACCCCAAACCCCTTCTGTTGGAATGCCAGCCCTTTTATATCTAAGTCCCAGTGAAACCCTTCCTTCCAGACTCTGCCATCCTTTACAGCAAGAGAGTAAATCTACCCACACAGGGCCCATGTTACTTACAAACATTCACGGCCCCAACGCCTTCACACAGCCTGAGAGGAAAGAAGAAAAAGAGCAGTATTAGTGACTTGGCCGGAGTGGAAGACAGAGCCCCACAAATTTTGGGGGTTGGGTCCGCAAGTCAAGAGGGGAGGAGCAGAGGTCTGAGGAAAGAGCCCTCCCAAGTTGACCACTACCCCAAAGTGATAAAAGACAGGTTTATCCCAGACTCTTGGCCCTTTATGGGGCAGAAATGGCAGCTTGGCCAGCTAGGGTCTCACCTCTGCTCCTCGCCCTCCAGCAGGCGCCTGTAGGTGGCGATCTCAATGTCCAAGCCCAGCTTGGAGTTCATCACCTCCTGGTACTCCTTGAGCAGGCAGGCCATGTCCTGCTTGGCCTTCTGCAGGGCGGCCTCCAGCTCGGCCAGCTTGCAGCGGGCATCGCTGACGGCTGTCTCACCCTGCTCCTCCGATTGCTTCACTGCAGTCTCCAGCTTGGTGTTCTGGGGACCCAGAAGAGGACAAGGCAGGTTATGGTTCCCAGGTCTCTCTGTCCATTTCCTGGATATGGCCAATCACTCACACCCAGCTGGGCACACTCCCAAAATAGGCCCCTCACCCTCATGACCTGGGTCTCCCTGAGTAACCACACCCATGACTCTAGTCATGCAAATGGGCTGGAGAATGAATG